CCTAATGAGTGTGCACATGCTAATTGCCCTTACATTAGTTTTCTCAATGTACTCAAGCAAAACGAAAGCAAACAGTTTAGTCAAACGAATCAAACTAAAAATTTAAATCAATTAAAAAATTTCACGAGCTGCCTTTATTTGAACTGTTTTGGTGTCGATTTTTTTTGATGAAAAAGAACAAAAAACCGAAGCTTCTGTTCAAACGAAATTCATTGTGAAATTCAGTAGTGCTTAAATTCAACATTGTACTATGTAAAGGTGAACAAATTCAATGTATTTGATTAATTCAAATGCATATTCACATATTATTATTATTTAACGAAGCAATTCCTGTAGTCGTCTACCATACACTGATTATCGTGTTTTTCATGTCTTCAGATACTGTCCTTTGTGTTTTGATAGGGCAAACAAATCACAATTTTGATAGGGGAAACAACCAATAGTATGATTGATACGACATTGGTAAATAGAGAATTTACATACTGATCCATCGCAGTTTTCAATTTTCATCAATTTTATCAGAACTATCGAATCGATCAAAAATCTCATTTCCATCAGTGTCGCGTACACGTTCATGATTCCATCGTAACTAATCAATCTTCAGATGATGCGTGAATCCACTTGGTCAGGTCATGATCCAATGGCGCTTTCTGCATCGTCCGGAATGCACCATCGCGTTTCTGTTGCCGACCCCTATGCCCTTAAATCCTCATGTCCTAACTATGGTCGTACAGTCGACATCGGCGGCGCAACAGATGATGCTGGTATGGCTAGCTCATCGATATCCTCACTTCAAGCGTATGGTGCGGAATTTTCATCATCGAGCGGAGGCATTGGCATCGGAGGTGCAACATTCTATTCGGATTACAACTTGAATTTGATAGGCACAGAGACTGGCCGAGGTCAACGTAAATCAGCGATTGTACCGTTGACGAGCATTCGACACAATGACTTCGATTTGACAACCGAAAGTTCGAGTATTAACTCGACCGGCAATCCATTGCTGCAACTG